TGTGAACTAGAGAAGCCAGAACACACTCAACTCCTGACAGCTTACTAAACATTACATCGAAGTTATATCGAACCAAAATGGAACAATTAGCCTCCTCCAAGAACACTGGATTTCCAGGGACCCCTTAAAATAGATGGAAATTCATTGAAATGAGGCTAACCAATGGGTGTCAATGATGGCAGTATTTGTACCAACAAGTCTAAAAACAGTCTAAGTATTAGTGCAGTGTTTCTTAAACTGGGGGTCCCGACCCAAAAAGGGGGTCACAAGACTATTGTGGTCGGTCATGAGGGTGGCATCTGAACGGCAAGGTGCCTTGCTCTGAAGTAAGCAGCAGTGCAGAAATAAGGGTGGCATGGTATGGGGGGGAGGGACATCAGAGCTTGAAATATTTTCAAAGGGGGGCCCAGCAAAACAAGTTTGAGAACCCCTGTCCCTAGTGGGCTTCAGGATGGCTCAGGATTGGGGGGCGAGAGGGGAGCAATTCTTTGAAAATGATTCCTTTTAATAAAAATACTTAGCCTTATAGAAAAAAATTGTATACATTATCTCAAAGCGCTTCACAAAGATAGTTAAGTATCATTATCCCCATTTTACAGATGGGGACACTAAGGCACAGCCGGTCAGTGGCAGAGCACAGAACATAACCCACCTCTCCTGCCTCCCAGTCCCATGCCTGATCCATTGGATCACACTGCCTCCCATGGGGAGGACTATTGGTAGCTATTATTAAATAGTCATGAATGGTTACTGTGTGCTTACTGGTATAAAACAGTGGTTCTCAACCAGGGACATGCTGACCCCTGAGGGTACACAGAGGTTTTGCAAGGGGTACATCAAATCATCCAGGTATTTGCCTAGTTTTACAACTGGCTACATAAAAAGCAATAGCAAGGTCAGTCCAAACTTAAATTTTATACAGACAAATGAGAAAGTAAGCAATTTTTCAGTAATAGTGTGCTGTTACACTTCTGTATTTGTATGTCTAGTATCGCAAGCAAATAATTTTAAGTGAGATGAAACTTGGGATATGCAAGACAAATCAGACTCCTGAAAGGGGTACAGTAGTCTGGAAAGATTGAAGTATCAGAGGGGTAGCCGTGTTAGTCTGAATCTGTGAAAAGCAACAGAGGGTCCTGTGGCACCTTTAAGACTAACAGACCCTCTGTTGCTTTTTTGGAAAGATTGAGGATCACTGGTATAAAAAAAAGACAGGAAAAAGTGACAGCCCTCACCCAAAGAGCTTATCATCTGTTGAGGTGGATATTGCATGCAGGATGTGGTGGGGTTTGAGAGGATATATTTACTGAGGTATGTTAGCTGTTTCGGGCTTGGTGAGAAGAGTGAGAGTTTTGAAGAGGGATTTGAATAAAGAGAGGGTGGGCACCTGAGGTGTTGGACCAGGGAGCGAGCTCCAAACACAGAGGTGGCTACATGAACTGAGGAAAAAACAAAAAAGAGAGTGAGTCTCCAGTGTTGCTGCATTGTATAAACACTGCAATGTGTGCAATACAGTATTATATCACTTCACATTTACACTGCAGGGTTCAAACAAGCTGATGGGACCCAAACTGTCTGACAACTGCATGAAATTATATGGACACTGAAATCTCTCACTCTGTGTATATCTCTCTGAAAATAAGGAGGTTTATCCTCCCACTTTTTGGACCTTTCTGTCCAGGTCACATGAATTTATACCAGAAGCTGTTCCTGTTTGAATATCTGGTGTTTGCAGTATAAGGATATAAAAGTTGCAATGGACGTCTCCTCAAGTAAAGCATATACATTAGTCAGGATCTTGCCATGGGCAAGCTGAGTTGGGCTACAAGTATTGTCCCAGCTCTCACAAGACAGCACATCCATCCATCTTCTAAACATTGTGGGTTCCATCTTCAATAACTTTGCCATTTAGATTGATCTTGGTGTTCTGTTTGTTGTCGCTAGTTTCCTGGTCAGTGCACCCTGGAAGTTCCAGATCATCATATCTTTTCCTATACACCACCCTTGAGATCAGTGTTATCAGAAACATTTCCATTATGAGAAGCTGTTGGTTCATATCTGGCAAAAAAAGAAATCATGTCAGAATTGGGGAAGAACAGTAGGTTTAACTCATCCCCATTTGCCCAAAGGGCATAGGCACTGACTTTTATTTTTCCCTGGGGGTGCTCCACCCCTATTCTGCCCCGAGGCCCTGCCCCCACTTCACCCCTTCCCCTGAGACCCCACCCTTGCTCTGCCTCTTCCTGCCCCCGCTTCAACCCCTCCCCTGGGGGTCCCTGCCCGCCTGCTGCTGTCTGCCCTCCCCTGAGAGCCTCCCCACAGCTGCCAAACAGCTGATCAGCGGTGCCACCAAACAGCTGTGGCTGGTGGGTGCAGAGCACCCACTATTTTTTTCCCCAAGGATGCTTTAGCCCTGGAGCACTCATGGAGTCAGCACCTATGCAAGGGAAGCAGCTTCCTCCTAAGCCAGCAAGTGGCTGTTGTAGCCCAGGTGGGTACACTCCTGCAGAGGGTAGCCAGGACTTGCAGTCTAAGCTGCCAAAGATCCACAGAAGCTCTGTAGGCAAAAATTGCCTTGGGATGTGTTGAATCAGCACACCTCCTGGATGCCCAGGCCTCCCCGCTCCCTAGCAAGTGTTGGCTTGGAGAGGGTGGGGGGAAGGTTCCTTGTTTCTGGCTCCTTCCAAGGATGAGACTGGTGCTACTGCCTCCCATTTCTGGGTGGAGTTGCAGCTGGGAGCCTTGGTTCAGGGTTTACACTGCTGGGAGATGGGAGTGAAGAAGGTCTAAAGCCTGGTTTACACTTAGCTATGGAGCTCAGGGATGTGAAAAATCTACAGCCCCGAGCGCCCTAGCTATGCCAACTTAGCCCCTGAAGTAGATGCAGTCTTGTTATTGGAACAATTCTTCCATCAATCTAGCTATCACCATTGAGGCAGGTAGATGACCGACAGCAATAGAAAATCCTTTTCCATCATTGTAGGAAGCATCTACACCAGTGGACGCTATGGGGCACGCTATGACATTTTGTACTCCAAAATACCACCTTGGTGCCCCCATATTCACCAGTGTTATATAATTGCAACAAATCTTGTACAAAATATGTCATGTAAGGTGTCAATGGAAAAGGTATGGTTTGCTGATTATGATTACCCTATTTGTATGCATGTATCATTTTCGTATCTGAAGTTATGAATATTGACTATGGGCTAGTATTTCAAATGTGGTTACTCCTAGGTAACACCCATAAAGTAGTTTACATCCAATCTAGCCAATACATTGTGAATGGACTATTCAAGGTAAGGGCCCATCAATAAACACAATGGGCCATGGGAAAAGCTTTCCCGATGGACTTCCCTGTGAACATTCTAGCCAGAATATGGGTAATGGCCCCTGCTATGACTCATCCACACATGCAAGGGCATATGACTATATCATGTGACACTGGACTCCATCTTGTGCCTGTACTTTACTGTACAAACTGTGCTGGGATTTTGCTTGGAACAAAGAATTTCCCTCCACATGGAAGAAGCTATACAAGGGGGAAGTGACATCATCACTGGGCCTCACTCCTCCTACAACAAACACATGGAAACACCTTAGGAACAAAGACTGAACTGGGGATGTGGTCCCAGTCTGAAGGGATTTCTAGCCTGTGTATGGAAGATTAGTGGACTGTTTGTACCATCAGGGTGAGACACTGATTGATTCAAATCCGGTCTAGTGTATAGAACTTAGCCTGCAATTTTGTTTTTTTCCCCTTAGGTAACCAATTTTGATTTGTACGTTATCACTTACAAGCACTTCCAATCTCTCTTTCTGTAGTTAATAAATCTGTTTTATATTTTTTACCTAAAACAGTGCGTTGTTTGAAGTGCAAAAGGGAAATCCGCTCAGGAACAGGGGTTGGTACATTGTCCTCTCCACATTGATAGAGGGGTGGACTGGGAAATAAACTTACACTGGTCAGGCTTTTGACCAGAGCAAGATGGTACAGCTCTTGGGTCCTAGGCTGGGGAGCTAGTGGAGGGACTGGCTGGAGCCACTGTATTGTCAGTCCATGAGTGGCTAGGAGAAGCATTCATGTAACAGCAGATGGGGGTGTCTCTGTCTGTGAATGTCTGTGACAGTGCAGGGTCTGGAGGGGTCTGCAGCTTGTCCCAGCATCACAGTGAGTGAGGAAGCCCAGGCTGGTGATACAGAAGGCTCAGTGATACTCCAGTTCCAGGTTGCACCCTGGGAAAGTCCGTCACACTGGCCCCCCTAGGGGGGCACAGAGGAACGTTTAGAGGGGTGAGTGGCAGGCCCAAGCCAGCCCCTGTGGGGGGGCAGGGAGGGAGAGCCACCCAGTCCTGCTCCACCCCCAGGCCATCTCCAGTGCCAGCCGCAGCTCCACTCCACCCCATGCTCTAGCCCCAGCCCAGCTCTGCCATCATTCGTTCTCTGCCCTGAGGCCACATCCACCTCTAACCCAGCTCTTCCCCCCATCCCCAGTTCTGCCCCCAGCTCCACCTTCAGCCCCAGCTCCTTTGCTGAACCAATTGTGCAGTAATGGAGTGGGGAGGGGTGTGGACAGATTCCATTACCGGGGTGGGGTGGGAGATGGATGACAGGAAAAGTTTGGGCACCACTGGTCTACACTATGAGGCTGCAGCACCATAGCGGTGCTGCTGTAGCGCCCATAGTGTAGACATGGCCTAACACTCAACTGAGTGGTATTTGTCTGTACTATGGTAACTTTTGAACACCACATCTGATCAATTCCAAAATTTCAGGAATATTCTAGGCATCAAAGAGCAGAAAATGGTAAAAAAACAAAAGGGGGAAAATGGGGGACACACCACGCCCCTGGCATCTGGTTAGCAGAGTCACAGCTTCAAGTGCCTCGGTAATTGTCTATAGATCAAAGAACCCGCTGATGGCAACCATTAACACTTTCCAGACTAACGATGCCCATCTCATCTCTTTCCAGCCTCCCAGCCGAGTTTAACATGCTGACAGCCTAAATGATTTATCTCCCCACAGAAAGAAAAGAAATGAGAATTGTGGGGGAAGATGGGAGTGGGGGGGCACGATGGCACACACAATACCTTGTAAAAGAAGAACAGGAGTACTTGTGGCACCTTAGAGACTAACAAATT